TTACGATTTCACGATTGTAAAAAGCGGTGCACGTTTTCCGATGCACGTATCGCCGGTCCGAAAACGTCTTTTATCTATTTATCTCCTGCGTTCGTTTCGTTCGTTGTCAGATAATGATCGAAACGTAACGTTTATAGCGTTAAAAATACTACTGTACTGTACTGTACAGCAGCCTCCTTACTCAACGATTTACTTGTTCATCTCATCTCTGTTGCTAGGTAACGATGATTCTAAACAAGTAATGATGGATATTCGCGGATCGATTGTTTCGTTGGTTGCTAGCGGCAATCGCTTGACAATGTCACCGAGGCAACCGACGACAAGAGCGGATATACTTTGCATACTATGTCACTTCCTTGCGACCATATTTGTACGCTATAAATGTCGTCGACTCGACTCGACGACGACGACGACACGCGACTGTCACGTATACAATCATCAAATCAACTTAATCATCGTCGCATCTATTGAAAGAAGAAAAAAAAAAGAAACAAAACTTCATAATCTAACATAATATTTGTAATAGGAGAATTCTTGCACATTCTGATAGCATCTGATTTATTGGGTATTCGTTGAGAATCGTATGGTTATTGCTATTACATGTTCGTTACCGTTCTTTCTTTCTATCATTCTTTCGGTTTAGATTATTAATGGACTAGTGGTAATAACTTTCTAATAAAACGCACGCTTTATTTATTACAGAACCATTAATCATACATTCGAAGCGTGCGCTCTCCTCTCATTGTATAACAATAATAGAGCGCGAGCGATAAGAGAAGAGAAGTAAAGAAATAAAGAAAGAATTGAGCGGATGCAGCAGATACGAGAATATCTATCTATGTCCATTGATGAAAACGTTTGTGCTCTTACGTAAACTCGTTGTTATTCGCGTATTATTTCTTTCTTCATCTCAACAGCAGCAGCAGCAGCCTTCTGTATTGTTTTTTTTTATTATTTGCACCGGGGAGGTGTGACCTCGCCTCTCATGGAGTTTTTCGACTTCCTTTAAGGTTATCTCCCTTATGCGGCGGACACTTCCCCACAATTTTTCTTTTCTTTTCTCTCTCTCTTCTTTTTGCACTACTCTACACATTTTCGAGGTGAAATTCCAGCTTCCTCTCGTTTTTCATCACTCCACATCGCATACATCTCACTGTTCAATCGTTTATAAAAAATAATTTAAAAAGAGAGAAAAAGGTAAAACTGTCACTTTGACATGTGTCAATGAAGTGGGGTTAAAGGGCAACATGTCAACGATATTAGAATTTTGAAACGAAAATCAAACGTACTTGATCTCATTATTATTAACAACAACAAAAAAGCAACGACAGCAAATTAACCAAACTCAAATATGTCAATGTGACATACGTCAAATGAAATAGTTTTAAGCAACAATTAAATTATTTTAGATTACTAAATTTACGTATCAAATCAAATTCCAGTATTATGTAAATGAAAAGGTCACCTGTAACATTAAGATTAGGATCGTCGTCCTTAGGTGTTTCAGAAATGCCGCAGCTCATAAATATGCGATCCAATTTAATTTCGTCGAGAGTTGATTGCTCAGTGTGCAAACTCGAAGTTGGTTTTGTGAATCGATTGATGTTGCAAATGAAATGCATTCACAGAGACTCATCTTTCGCATTCAAAGAGTGAAGAGAAGAGAGGAGGAGGAGTAGTTGCTTTGTGTTCGTGGCACAAAGGAAATTGTTGCATTAGACAGACACGACACGACACGACATGATGATAATGATCGCGCGATTTAGTATTTAGGAAGTGTAATTTGATATTTGAATGGACGCTGGGAGTGTCGACTATTACTACCACTACTACTACTTCTACTTCTACATCAACCAACGGAGCGCATCATCTTCATCAGAAACATGCACGCACGCACGCTTCTTGATCTCTATAGTAGACGACACATTTAGTATCAGCTTAAAAACGAAATTAATCGGTGCGCGTAAATAACAGAATTACCGTACTAATTGTGGAGCGTATTTAAAATAAAACCTAAAATAAAAATAATCTAGTTGCTGTTGTCTGTTGCACCTATATTTATATCCGCGCATCAAATGTTTCTAAATGCGGACGCGACAGGAAAGAAGAAATCCTTTCCACCATCCCTTTCCAATTACTGAGGGAGGGGGGTTATTTTTGTGTTGGCAGTATGGAGTACCACGTGGCGCTGCACTAGTTCCTTCGATAACTTTTAAAAATGTTCCAGTTCTCTTTTTGGATGCAAATAGGTGACTTTAATTGGATTAGCATTAGTTGCTTAAGATTTTTGTAACCCCCGCAACGCCAAATAAGTCGACGTCGGGTGTGAGTTCGCCGTATGGGGAAAAGGCGAAGGTCGACGAAGTTTCGTTTCGCTCCTATTCCTCTCGTTTTCCTTCCTCGATCTTTGTTCCATACTTTTTGCTTTTGATTCATCATTATCGGAAAATGGAAAACTCTCAATGCCAACGCAACATTCGTGTGGCCGCACGTTTCGCAATTGTTCCATGTTTCAACCTTACACCCGATGACAAATCCGCGAACGCGATCGAAGTCGTCGTCGCCAAACAAGGCCTTCTTTACACTTTACATTAAAACACAAACAAACGCTCGACCTTAAAAGATGTTTCACTACTTCTCGTTCGCGAATTGCACGCAAAGAAGAAGAAGAAGAAGGAGAAAACAAAAACAGAGATAATAATTCCATTTCGATCTTAAGGATTCTCAAGTTTTTATTTTTGCAATTAATAAACGTGCACATGACACATGGGCAATTACAATATAAATTGCGATTATATTCACTCATTTGCTGCAAAGTAGGCGTCGAGCTAATTTATTTAAAGCGGTAATGGGAAACCTTTTTAAAAACTTTCAGTTTTCATCCATTCTAATACTCCAGTCGCACCGATAAATGGCGTCTCAGAATGACGTCTTTCAAATGTTTGACAGTTGATGACGTATTCGAAATGACAAATGTTAAATTGACGTCTTAGAATAACATCGCACCGATAAATGGCGTCTTAGAATGACGTCTTTGAAATGTTTGACAGTTATACCATGGATGACGTATTCGAAATGTCAAATTGACGTCTTAGAATGACATCTTCAAAATGTCAAATTGTGGGTAATACGAACATATTTGTTTTAGAAAGTGTAAACGATGAATGAGAATTGCGGAAGATCGGCACGCAATTAGAAGACAAAAGGAGCGTTACGCAAGGCAATTATTGTTAAATAAATAAAGCGAACAGTGAGACGATTGCTATGGACTCTACTCTTATCATTAAGGACGATTGCTGACAGTTGCTAAGGATTTTGTTTTTATCAGCGAGGACGCTATGCGTTGTACGAAAATGGAAGAATTCATCGAGCATTTTACTATTTGCTTAACATCTCTCGATCGAGTGAGGAGGCAGCAATTTGCAGGTATTTCCAAAGCAAATATACACATCTAAAAAAAAACCTCTTCAAACCTAACGCAACACCACTAAGAGCATAATGCTAATTGATACTTTCTGCAATTAAATCGATGCAATTAGTAAAATCCAATTAACAATAAAAGCTCTTTAGGTGTAACGTGTAGGTAACTGCGGCGCGTGCCACATTTAATTGCCACCGCGAAGAATTTATCGTCGATCGTCATGGTAACATCAATAACGAAAGCGATCGATGCACCACTTTGTTTATCGCCTTGGCAACGGTGATACCAATATCCTTCGACGTCGAGCAGCATTGAGCGTCGTCAAAAGTAGAACGGGTATTCTAATTTGTCTAGCCGATTTTGCAAACTTTTTGCAAATCTTTCACGTAAAGATAGACAAGTGAAATGTTTTGGGGGAAGACAAGCGTTTAGCGTTTTATTGATTCTATCAATTTGTGAGGACGTTGTAGTAAGTACTGCGTTTCGCGTTCTTTCCTCAAGGTTTTCGCGCGTATTACTCTGTGTGTGTATATATATATAATAGAAGAAAGGTAGTGTGTGTTGCCGTCTCTTGTGTATATTTATAGCCTCGCTGGATCTGTTTTTCCTTCGCATAAACAATGCATTCCTCGACATCCACATAAATAAATAAATGTATATATTTATATAATATTAAACCGTGTAAATATGCATGCAAATGATGTTGTTGCTATAGTTACGATTAGCATGCAGCCTTCCCGGATCAAGCAAACACCTGTCGATTTGCGC